CTGGAAGCGGGGCTGGAAGCGGGGCTGGAAGCGGGGCTGGAAGCGGGCACCTGGCGTTCCGCGGGGGCTCCGACTGGCGGGCTCCACACCGGCCCCACCAGCCCAGGCCTGGCATCTTAGGGCCGGCACGGCGACCCTAGACGGGGTTTATATTATTTATATCTGCGGAGCTCTTTCGTGCCTCCCTAGTTAGGAGGCCAGTTGGGTTTGAGTCCTGACGCGTCTGCTCCCTATAGAAAATTTTTGGAGCTTCCTTATATGTTGGGCTGACTTGAATCTTTTCGTTGCTAATGCCATCATGCTTGCGACGTGGGTATCCTGACGGCAAAGGTTCAGGCCGGCAGCTTTGACAGCATCTTTCACAGCATGGCATGGGACCCTCACCGCTTCTCCACGGTTACATCCCTTGGAGATCAGTAGCTGTCAGGTGGTCACAGAGTCTGGAATATCCTGTGGTTGCACAGTCCTATCTTGCTGATCCACTTCGTAAGAGTATGTTGCTGGCTTCGATAGGGTGTGTCCCACGTTAACACTGTGACTCATAGGACAAGACACGTTCTGCCTATTCCTGCTGTCACAGAAAAGTCATTATCCTTAAGGCCTTTTAGCACTGTTCGATTGCTATGAACTAGTTGCATTGCAAATTAAGTAAAACTGGGCTCATCTATACACTTGCGGGAAGAGTCAGACAGAGCAATGAGGGCACATCACAAGAGTGCAAACAAGAAATGAAGACGGTACTATTACTGTTTGAAGAGCAGAAACACTAGATGCAATCAATAGCACTAACCATGCTCAATAATGTGATTGCTTGCATTAGGCAGACTTCTGACAAATCAAATGAAAACTGCACACCAAGCCTTTTCCCAAAGGGATTTACAATCCCTAGGCACTTTGTTATTTTACTGAATTTTTTTTCTGGGATCTCTAGTTCTGCTTCTTTACCTATCCACAACAACTGTTCTCAGTAGGTGATGCAGGTCAGCATTGATCTACTGCTTAGAACTGTCTACTTGTAAGGAATAGCATGTTTTCTTTGGATTCTGCCTCAATTCGACGACATCTGCTAGATATTCTCAGAGGATGCTTTGCCTCCTCACCATTCATCATCCCCCATTATGTTCACGAAAGACATATGGTAGATGTTCTCTGAGCCTTTTTTATCCTCTCCTTTTTCATCTCTTCATTCTGATGGGTTTCAAAAAGAGTTGTAAGAATTCTTTCAAAACAAGCAGAGCTTTTATCCAGTAGTCCTGCAGGAAGAGCAAACAGAAGTCATGGGGAACTGGGGTTTTAGACTGTCTTCAGCTTGAAGGGATTCCAACCCAACTTTACTTCCCAACACCCTACTCAACATTTTGAAAAAGGTAATCTATACTCAGGGACCATCTAAAAGCTCTGTGGTCTTTGCTCATATTTTAATTCTGTAATGATTTTTTTTTTACTGTTGAACACAATGTGAAGTACAAGAGTCCTTTGAAAACTCCATATTATATTGTATCTCCATCTTTTCCCTGTCTCATGGCTTTAATATTTTTCCATGGCACAGCGATGGGTGGTGGTTAGAGCACTTTTCCACAAAGTGTGGAGTTTGCCCTCTCAGGCACAAATGGGTACAGAAACTAGCTTTTCCACCTTATGTGTGAGTAGCATAATGACTGTGCTATTAAAAACAGGTGCGTTAACCTTCCTTTATTGGATGTAGTTTGAAATGTTTGTATTATTTCCTACTGCTGCCCAAGTTAGCTATCTAAAAGTAAGGATCCTAGTTCAAAGATACAGTCTCAAATTGCATCTAATTTCAGGATATCTGCAGCTGATAGAGAATGTAGCAACACTGCACTCCCTGTGCCCACAACTATGTGCTGCCACCACATATCTCGTATTAGATTTGGAATTTGATCCATTTCATTTGTGGCTGCACAATCAGCTGATCCAGACGAAAACTACCTCACTGCAGAAAATTCCCTGTTGGATCATGTCATGCCTCTGACTCACCTTGGAATTAGATCAGGCAAGTGAAGAGGTGGGAAGGCACAGCTAGGGACAGTACTTCAGCAGACTGGGTGAGGAAAAACAGGCATGTCCGGGGGATAATTCATCTGCTCTATTTCAGACCTCATTCCAAAAAATGGCCTCTGCAACAGTGACTCTATTGATTTCACAAAGAAGGTTATCTACCCAACAGTTCTCTGCCATAGGGCTTGCCTTTAGAAAGCCTTATAGCAAGTTTTAAGTAGGGTATTTTCTAAAAATATGTGCTACTTTTGTCCAAAGTAAACAGTCTCAGATGACTGGTATGGACATTTCTTCTTTCTTTGCACACTCCTTTTTTTTCTCCTGGATTTTAAAGATGTGACATACTTCTAAATTTGCTTTAATAAGTGTTTTATTTATGTTGTTTGTTTATATAATTTATTACTTATTTTTTAACTTATGACAAGAGTTTATCCATAGAAAGATTAGTTTGGGATTCTGATGATATACAATGATTCATTTCCCTATATTCTTCTGGTAGGAAAGGATACTTAGGAACAGCAACTTGTAAATAACAATCTGCTAGGGAAGTTCTAATATATTTTACAATCACTCAACTGACATACATCTGCATTAGATAAGTATTTTCTTAGAGGAAGGCAAAAACATTGTGGCCGTGGAGGTCTACTGCAGTTCTAGTTTACTAGAGCAGTATTTTACGTGTCATACCCATTTATTTTAGCACATACTAGTTTTATGGTTGCTGCATTGTAAAGATAAGGTGTATAATGCCAGGAAAAAGTCAGGCCAGTACACTTTTAGCGAGAAGACAGATATGAAGAACAATAGTTATCTCATGACAACCAGTGACCTTTATTTTAACTACATTTTCATTATAGTCTACTGTGTACATTGCTTTTGGAACTGCAAGCTGTGGAGAAATGATAATCAAAGGAAAAGAGAAAGGTACAGAACAGAGAAAGTGCCAGCAGTCCATTTAATCACAGCTTTTGTCTTTGACTGGGCAAGTACAAGACGTTTTGGATGGCACACAAGGTGCTGTAATGCATAACAATACAATGATATGACTAAGACAAAATTTATCCCAGTCACAGAGCACATGTAAGTGTTCTAAGTACTGGACTACAATGATTTACTTCCTATCTATAATCTTATTGTACGTCCTAATATTTTTTTATATATTCCTCAATCTCTCTAAATTCAAAGCAGTACTTGTAAACCAACCCATATGAAGTAATAGTTCATATGCTTACACTGTAGTTTTGTTAAATGATTTTGAATAACAAGTTCACTGAAGTCAAACACAAAATGTGTTTATACCATTTGCTTTTGTAAGCTTATAGTGATGTATTGTGATAAATCTGTAAGAGGCAGATCATCTGTAAGCTGCTGACTGCTGGGATCTCCGGGTGCCTGGGCTTCCCTGGCTGGAGCATCACTCTGTGCCAGCCTCCTGACACTGCCGTAGGGAACCACTTGTCCTAGTGCTTTTTTTGGCACAAACACCTGTTCTCAGTGTGGCCAAACTGACTACACCCAATATGGTCACTTTTTCTTGCTGATAACTCAGACCAGTTTTCAACCAATGATGAGGTTAAAATTAATCTTTTTGTTCTCCACCACTCTTTGAAGAAGGGAATAGAAATACTTCCACTGACCATAATGGGCATTAGATTGGAACACTACTCACTTGATAAAGAGCCCTTCTTAACTCAAGTCCTTGAAATAAAACTAAATAACAAGCTTAGATTGTGTGTGCTCTGAAACCAATAAAGGAAGCAGTCTCCTCTGTAGGGTTTGTAGAGCTCACACAAGCAAGCCACCATTGAAATATACAGAAAACCAAAAGGTATTTTTAGAATTATTGAAGTGTGTTTTGTGAAACCCTGTGAAATATTTGCCTGGTATCTGTTGTCAAGGTAGCAAACCTTCTTTATTTAAGAAAAATATTACTTTTATTGCGTAATATAGGGAAGGGAATTTAAGAATATGCTTATGCAGTAAATTTTCAACATGTATTTTATTTAACTCACATGAACAGTCCCACTGAAGTGAATGGTACTAATTTAAGTTTTGAGCATTTTATATATACGCACAATTAGAACATTAGAGTGGAGTTAGCCTCTTGATACAGCCAGTCTGCAGTGCGTGCAAAGGTGCCAACTGCACAGATCACAGTCTGTGGGATGGGTCTATACATAAATCTTACCAAGCCTAGCAATGCAATGAAACAACAGGATAGTTCAACAGTGCTACAGTCTAAAATATCCCATAAAGAAAATAATAGTTTTACAGAATTCAATTCTTCTATTATAGCAAAAAGTACATTGAGTTTGGATAAACTGAAAACTCAGATAAACCGAAAACTCAGATAAACCAAACTCAAATGAGCAGGATACTCATCTCCCTTTAACATATGTTTGTTCTTCAACATTGCAGTCTGTGTCATAGTTTTGTTCCCAAAGAGGATTAAATAGAACAATACAAAAGGGCATCTCAGACTCATGCTTTTCAAAACATTAAATATATCAATGGTTTTTAGATATATAGAATCAATAGTTTCCATACAAAGCCTTCTAACCAGAATTTTTGTATTTTTATAACAGAAAGAGAAACTTCCACTTCCACCTGTGTCATGACACTTGTTTTCCTTTGCTGACTACTTAGCTGCACAGTCAGAGGCTTAATATGAATCATTTATTTTCCAGTAGCAGTGCACAACTCCAACTGCTTCAGATGTGCCAAATGCAAGCACAGCTTCTAGTTCTTCCCACAAGATTTATGCAATCCATTCTACACCACATCTTTTGAAAGCATCTTCTGTCAAATTCCTAGAGTAGTAAATAAAATAATAGATAGATACATCTGGATGAATGCACAAAAAGATTGTAGACATTCTGTTGTTCAAGTTAGACATAGCTAAATTCTGTGTATTTGATTTATTCTTGAATACCTCACTGATGACTACATACCATAAACCTAAAATAGTGTACAAGTACCATATGTAAGTCTGTTGTCCAAACACATTCTTGTAGTGTGTTGGGAGCATTAAGTAAATACAGGGCAGAAGGACAAGCAGAATTTGTTTATTTTTTTAACAAATTCTCCTTCCTCAGGTTTTTAACTCATTGCCTGGCATTTAACTACTCTGAAGTATAAAGGTAAGCTCATGATTCTGCATGGCTCATACCAAGTAATTCTTGTGGTGTTTCATAGTAGATGACCTTCCTCTGTGATAGTGGAGCTGAAAAGTACTAAATTTTTTCATTTCATAGAAGTGTTCCCATATTGAATAGATAAATTTTGTAACAAAAAAAAAAATTGTAAAGCATTTCATGAGAAAATAATCTCATAAAAGCATCACTTTGTATTTCTGGAAATAGATGGGAAATAAAACCCATCTAGCTTTATAAGGTATTGAATATCTACATGTGCAATACAAATCTAGAAGATAAATATATATTGACAATATCAATCATGAAGAAGACCAAAAAAAACACTCATTTTTGTAATAACAGTTGAGTGAATAGCTGGGAAAAACTGCCTGGGAAGGTGGAGAATGAATATGAAACACAATGATGCTCTCACCTACAGCACAAAAGACCTTAATCTGACCGTCTTTAAATTTATTGGGAAGGTTGATTTCACACTGTACTGGAATAAGAGCAAAGTTGAACTCAATTGATAAGTCAGTCTAAATTGATTTTAAAAGCTGATTTAGATAATGCAATTAATGTACAAGCCTATTCAGTTCCATTGATTACATTTTTGTATGTAAACAAAATCTGTTTTATGAATAATTTTGAGATTTTTTATGGGGTCAAAAGGTGCTAGCCGAAGTTGAAATACTAATGAAATAATTTTGCCACTATATGCTTTGAAAATAGCTGACAGTTTATCAAATTTAAATAAAGAATTCAGAAAATACAGACTAGTAAACCACAAACATATAAATATAATTGACAGAAATCATAATTAAAAGAACAAGAATAGGAAACTTATGAAAAGGAAATTACATTTCAACTTATTTATTGCTATTCTTGGAACATGTAATTACAAAAACAAATCTGAAAAAAATAGTATTAACACAACAAACACATTTTGAAAATGCTGCTGAAAAATTGTCACACAGAAACTACCAAGGATATGAAGTAGTTACAGAGTAAGGAAGAAAATATCTCCATGGATCAAAACATGGAAAACAGAAGAAAAAGGGCAAGTTTATTATAGCAAAAAGGAAGCAGTAAGATGTTTATGAAAGTTCTGTAATAAGTTTAGTTATTAATACATTAATAAGTGGTCAGGAAACATAAACAAATGTGGGATGGCAAAACTTTCAAATGGCACAAAATATTTAGTTTATTCAAATCCAAAAGGATTATGGAGATATCCAGAAAGTCCCCATCAGTTGGGTAAATGGGTAGTGTGATAGCAAGAGAAATTGTAAGCTCATAAATAGCAACCACAATATTAGAGTAAAAACATTGAGATACTTATCCTAACCAGTAAGTTCTTAATTGACTAAATCAACTGTAGGCAAACCTGGTCATCCTTAAAGATAGTGTGTGCATCCAAAATCAACAAATTTGAGCAAATAAATAGGGTAAGGAAAGGAATACAGAATTCTAATGAGAAAGTATCAAACACTGCTTGTCAAATTTCAAAAGATTCTGTGCAAAAGCGTGGAAAACATCCAAGGAGAAATTTAAAAATGGAAAATGTTTACTTCAGAAAGCAAATCAGATTTGTTCCCTCAAATCTGCTGTGGAAAATTCTCAAGAGAAAAAGAAGGGAAAGGATAGCTAAAAGTAGTAAGAAAAAAAAAACTAGTATTAAAAATTGGGATCAGGTCACACCTGTCTCCATGTATCATAATTTAAAATGAGAAAGTCTTCATCAGTTAATGAAGTCACAAATTGACAGAATCAAATGAGACAAAAACCACTTTGCTCATAGTACGTGGTTAATTTGTTATGCCCATTTTAACACTACATTGTCAAAGCTAAGAATTAGAAAGGTTTGAAAAGAGAAGTGAAGTTTGAGCAGAGAAAAGGTGTAAGTAAGATAGCAGGAATATCCAGAATAAAAATAGTAAATATAGAAAATATTTTGGAAAGCTACAGTTTAAACAAATTTATAATTGTTACACTGAGATGAAATGTAGGCTTGGATTATCCCATATTGGCAAAAATTTCTGAGTTAAGTCATTCAATCCTGTATGTAAAATCTTTTGTCTCTTTTTTTTAACCACAGGATTCTCAAACTGGGTTATAACTCGAACACGAAAAGCATCTGTATATTTATAATAATGGTACCTACTGTAATCTTACTCTCATATACAATGTGCTGTTTTACCAACTATTCATTTTGAACACACATGTATTTGCTGTTGCCAATGGGTATGTATTTTGAGGCTCAAAGATGAAGATCTGCTTGTGTGCTTTGGTGAGGAGAGGGAGACTTAGTTTTTGCATGGCACATATTTTATTGAAGGCCCTCAAACTGAGACCATCTAGATGTTTTCAACATTGAGATAACTTACTCCGTCCTAAAGTAGAGACACTTGGACTCTTGAAATTCTTTAGGACTGATCAAGTAGCATTTCAAAAATATCCTGACCCAGGTTGGAATTCTTCTGTGTGTATATGTATATACACACAGCCCATATGTTTGGGCTGAGTTGGCCATGGTCACCATGTGTAGCTGTGGAAATGAGGAGCCTGTGGCTACATGTACACTGCCTCAAGTAGTGAACGGCATCCCCAGGCTAGCACAGACTGAGACAGGTGTCATGATAGCAGGTGCAACCCACACCTTTGAAGGGTCATGTCACATCAGCTTAGCTCAGGCTGAGGCTGTCCTCCTTCCAGAGACAGTCCCAGCAAGGCTCCCTGTGCTGGTTTAGCTTCCCTGTGTGTGTGCACAGAGAGCAGAGTTACAAGACAACATGCATATTCAAATGTCATCCTTCAGTCTGCCAGATGGGTGCTCTTCAGGCCCTTGGAAGAAATTTCCCCCTTCTCAGGCCTTAGTGTTCCTCATGTTCTGAGGATGGTATTTATAGAAATCTACCAGACTGGGAGACGTTCTCTCCCCGAGGTCACCGTGGCAGGTAACCCTGTTTGGCCTCTGAGATGGGGATCTTGGGCATATTCCCACCACTCGGTCTCTGAGCAGACTCCCAGATGTTCAACCTCAGACACACATTTCTGTGTTTCCATGAACTGCACTATTTTCTGTCACTTTTGCTGGGGTGGCTATGCCAGCTGCTGCTGCCTGACGGTGAGCGGCGAGGCCGGGTACCATCCCACAAGGAGCTCCCTCCCGATGGAGGATCGCCCGCCCCCGCCGGGTCTGGCTGACCCGGGGAGCCCCACGGTGCGGAGGGAGGAGCGCGCAGGGCCATGTGAGCAGCTGGCGGCGGCAGCGGCCTCGGGGAAGACAGATGGGGTGAGAGACAGCGCGGGTCCGGCTGTCAGCGGCCGAGCCCCGCCGCGGAGGGAGCCCCTCCTCCCGCTGTGCGCTCCCGGCCGGGGCAACCATGGCGTCCAGCGAGGAGGACGGAGGCGGTAACGGCGCGGTGGAGGAGAAGGGCAAGAAACGGAAGCTAGGCGCCCTGGCCACAGCCTGGCTCATCTTCTACAACGTCGCCATGACCGCGGGGTGAGCGGGCGCGGGCGGCATCTCGGCGGCTCCGCGGGGCGCGGAGCGGCGGGGCCGGGGCAGCGCGGCGGGGGCGCGGCGGGCCCGGGGGGCTGCGGGGCGAGAGAGCCGGGATGCGGAGAGCCGCCGGGATCGGAGCTATCCTGGCCCGCCGGGCATTGCCTAATACGGTGCAGCGCTGCCGGCCGCCGGCGCCCGCCGCCGAGGTTAAGTATAGCCGGCACCGGCATGCCGGGCGGGATGACGCGTCCCTCGGCACAGCCGCCGCCGCCCCGCCGCCGCCGCCCGCCTCCGGATGGGGAGGCGAAAGCACCCCTCGGTGCCGCCGGGAGCTTCACGCCCCGGGGTCCCGTGTGGGGCAGCGCGTTCGGGTCCATGGGCCCCTGCTCTGAGCGAGCGGAGCCCGTTCGGGTTCGTGAGCCCCGGCTCTGGGCAAGCAAAGCCCACCCCCGCTCCCGGAGGGGAGAGCGCGGCCCGCAGAACCGGCGGTCATCAGTGATGAGCGGGGACGGGTGGAGGGGAAAGCGTTTCGGTAGCCCAGGGGGTTCATTTGAGCTTGTGCTCTGTGCTGTCAGGCTTTGCTCTAGGGAAAGTGGAACAGATCATAAGAACACTCAGGTTTATGTTATTAATGCTTGAAGCACCTATTTCCGCTTAATGAAAATTTGCCCTGTTGACTAATTATTGGGGAAAAATACTTCCAACCTTTTAATTTCCACCTGCTTAAAAGAAAGCTAGGAATTAACCGTTTTATAACTTCTGCAGTGATATTCATCAGTTTTACTTTGGTTGCCAGAGAGTGAATTCTCTGTCCTTTGAATCCCATAAAGCAAAACAGACATGCTGTAGTTGAAGCAGTTCAAGTACTGATGGAGAAAGCCAGGAATATGATCCTAATGGCTTTCTTCTCTCAATCATCCATGAATCATGAGTATGTATTTAAGTCTGTTCATATATTGCTGCAACACCTTTTGAAAAGTGCTTTTACTGAAAGTCATTTTTTTCTAGCTGGTGGGTTACTGTTACCTTATTGAACTCCCAGACTTGTGCTCCATGTGTGAATTTGCTAATGAACGCTGGCTCTTGCCACAGACTTTTATATGTCTCTAAAAGATTATCGAACCATATTAGTTTTGACCTTAGGTGCTGCTTCAGTATCTCCCACTTCCTTCTCTCCCATCTGCCATTCTTATCAAAAAGGATTAAGACATGCAAAATTGGATATTTTATGTGGAAATGGAGGGAAAAAAAAGAGATAGGAACAAATTCTTATAATCTTTTTTGGGTACAATTTAAGAGAAAAAAATAAACATATGAAATAGAGCAATACTTAACAGGGGTACTACATGGGATAAATAAGTAGCTAGAATAGCATATTGGTCCAGTTATCCAGACAGTGCAATATAGCAAAGTATTTCTAGAGTTTTAACAAACTAATGCATAACTCCATGTGTTTCTAACACAGGTTTAAGGGATTAAAATGACAGATGAATACTCAGTCTTACTGAAGCCCCAACTGGAAATGCTGCCTTTATTATAGGAAGTGTTTTCCGTTTCCTTGTGATTTGCAATACTCAGTCAAAGCCACTGACAACTAAATAAATCCAGCTACAGAAATTCATGTCCATATAAAATTTATTTAAGAAAAACGTATTTGCAGTCTTTTCTTCTGAGTGTAGTCCAAGATTACTTCTCTCTCCAATGCTTTGGTTATGGAACAAGAGACAGAGAATGTCTTGTTAGATTAGATGTATTATGACTTCTCAGTCTAGGGCTAGGACAGAGCTGTTGCTGTCACCATTCATGCTGCCAGCTGGATGTAAACTCACTGTCATCCTCCTCTTGTTAAACACTTCCCTATAAAACAGGGCAGCTTTACTGTGGAGAACTACAAGTGATATTTCAGTAATTCCTCAATTCCACAATGGTGGGAGACCACCTGAAATAAATCCGCTCATATTGAAAATCCGTTATAAAATCTAAGTGACACTTGCGGGGGAAAATTTTGGAGCTCTGGCAGATCGGATTCATGGGCTTAAAGTAGAAGGGATCAAGAAGGGGAATCATTCCTACCATGTGGGGAAGCCTGACTTACTATGTGAGTTTGAAATGCTGTCATGAAATGCTGGGATGGGCCATGCCAAGTGACTGCATAGCAGTAGCCACCTTGCGTAAGAGTTGTTAAGGGGCTGATACTGAAGTACGTGCCATCTGAGGTGAACAGGGACCTGTCATGATCCATGCGACTCTCATGCTGTTACACCACAACGGATCTGACCAAAAGATTAGTATTTCCTGATACCCTGTTTCCAGTATTAACCAATACCTTATGCTTAGGGAGGAGTATAGGAACAGCAGATGAGTTAAATATTTATCCAAATGTTTATGTAAATATTTCTCTGAATGTTTATGTGCTCTCTGAATCTGCCTCTGAGTTTTTCTCAGACCCCTCTGCTTTGTTGCTTGGGCCCTTCCTTAGCCAGAACTCATGTCGCTGTACAGCGTGCTTGCTGTGGCCTATGGGGAATGAAAGAACTCAGTAATTTTTCCCGGTATCATCAGACAAGAAGTTAAACTAAAATTGTTTTAATTTTGGGGTTTTATTTTTATCTCTCAAAATAGCTATCCATAGCTCTGGTTATGTCTGTGTCTATATTAAAGAATTTTTGTACTTTCTTAGTCTTTGTGGATTGAAACCTGAAGTTTTGAGTCATCTTGCTAGTATGATGTCTTTATAAATGTGGTATAGCTCTGAAAGGTTGAGAGAGTTGAGGTTGTCTAGTCTGGAGAGGAGAAGGCTCCAGGGTGACATTATTGCAACTTTTGGTATCTGAAGGGAGCCCACAAGAAAGCTGGAGAGGGACTTTTCACAAGGACCTGTAGTGATAGGACAAGGGGGAATGGCTTTAAACTGAAAGAAGGCAGGTTTATATTATATATTAGGAAGAAATTCTTTACTGTGAGGGTGGTGAGACACTTGCATACGTTGCCCAAAGAACCTGTGCTTGCCCCATCCCTGGAAGTGTCCAAGGCCAGGTTGGATGGGGCTCTGAGCAACCTGGTCTAGGGAAAGGTGTCCCTGCCCATGGCAGGAGGGTTGGAAGTAAATGATCTCTAAAGTCCTTTCCAACACAAATCATACTATGATTCTATGATAAAGGAACGTATAGTACACTCTTTTGAAAATCTTAATTAGATAAATACGGATTTATTATGTGGAAGGAACTGCGCATGCCTTGGGTTATTGTACAGAGTCTGGGCTGACGGTGATCAACCAACCACAGTTTAGAAGTTTACTTTTCTTTAATCTCAATTTCCATTCAATTTAAGTTTTGTATGAAATTCTAGTATGATTAAAAGATACTGTAACTCTCTTTCTTTTACATTGGAAGGGTTATTAGTTGGCATAATTGTTCAGCTTCCCCCTCCCCCCCCCCCAAAAATAAAAATAATCCAACATCCTCAAATGTGCTATTTAAGTATACCTGCCTCTGGAAGCCAGGAGCATAGAACATCCATCTTTCAGCACTTTGCCACCTGATTTTTAAAGATCACTTCTCAACACTATTGAAAACATAATAGTAATGGTAACTTCAGTTGGACAATCACAAACAGAAGCATTCAGAACACTAGTCAGTCCTGAAATCAATGAGTTGAGGGGCTGTGAAAAGTATAAAACTGATGGGCATAGGTTCTGGTCCTTTACTCATTCAACCTGCAACCCAAACAGTGGCTTCAGTGCCAAGTTCATCATGTGTTTTCAAATAACAGTAATTAATGGTAGAGATGCATGAGGATTTAATAGTAAAAATATGGAGTCCCTGCTAGTGAAAAGTCTGATGGATTGGTGGTTTTGGGGGTTCTCTCAATTCAAGTAAATCCTCTGAAGGTAGCAAGTCGTTCTCCATCCTTTTCCAAGTAAAGAGATAAGAGTGTAATGTTTACACAACATTATAATATTTATGTCTAAAGATATTTTTGATAATCTAAGAACACGGACAAGTGAAGAAGCAAAGATATTCTGTAAAGAAAAATACTAAATTATTTACGATGGATGGATATTTTTAGAATTCTAATTTGAAATGTATCCATTCTCTTTCTTTTGTAGGTGGCTGGTATTAGGTATTGCCATGGTGCGGTTTTATATACAGAAAGGAACACATAGAGGCTTATTCAGAAGCGTTCAAAAGACGCTTAAATTTTTCCAGACATTTGCTTTGCTTGAGGTAAATTTTAAACATTAGTTTGCTTTACTGAATACTGCATATTCATAGGCAAAACACATTATTATCCTGAATTTAAAATCAAAGTATTATATTAGTACTAAAAGTCCTTTTAAGTTTACTATTTCATAAAGGGGTTTTATTATTTAATGAAGGGGGGGCAAGGTGATTACTTGAAACAAGTGGGCACATTTTTTTCAACCTTGATTCTAGTATTTCTTTAAATCAAACTGTGCCTGGGAACTGCTTTGATTTGAGAGTCTTGAATGAAAAAGGCAAAAATTCAAATGCATTCCAGCGAGCAGATCAACCCTCTAGTGTTGTAGGTATTTCACCACCATCTCCAGAGATTATAGCTTACTTATTACTCCTTATACTGGACTTACTATCCTGTGTGCCTTTCCTGCTTCTGCTTGTTTCCAGATCGGATTCATGTACATCTATGGAAGGAAGCTGTTGGGTTTATTGAGCACTTGCAGTTCTTTCCCAGGCACAACAAAGAGTGCCTATCTACATTTTAACTTTTTTCCTCAATCTGCCACAAAGTCTCTAGTTCATACTATTAAAATCATGTCGCCAGCTGTATATAGTAAAATTCTGTCCTGTAAAATTCTTCTTTGAATAAGGTAATGGAAGGGAAATTTGCTAGTTGAAAATAAAGTGCTTTGTAAATATCTAAATGTCTGATATATACAATTAGTTTTGAAAATAAATATCTTCCATGTGCTTGCACAGCTGAAATCCTGAGCCCATTGTTGCCAGGGCTCTGCCGTGAATTTCTTTTCTGTTAGTTGGAGACCAAGGACCCTTCCCTTCAGAATTAAGCCTAGGTTTATATTAATATCAAAAGGCCATGCTTATAGTGTAGCTAGTAACATGCTGCACATCTGTAACCTCTAACTTATTTTTATTTACAGGTAGTCCACTGTGCAGTTGGTGAGTTCTTTGTTTTAGTTTCTCCTATAACTAGTTAAAACATGAATTGTGGAACAGAGATAACATGTTTCTCTTTTTAAGGAATAGTTCGCACATCTGTGCTTGTGACTGGGGTCCAAGTGAGTTCAAGAATCTTCATGGTGTGGTTCATTGCACATAGTATAAAACAGGTATGTGCGTAAGCAAGTTATGTTTTGATTGTTTTTAAGGAGAAGCTATTAATACAGTTCTCATTTCACAAGGAAGACCAGTTTAAAAATTAATGATGTTCCTTAATGAGTATGCTTACGTACTCGAGTGCAATCTTGGAAGTTGGGGTTAAAAAATGGAATTTATGTGCTTCTTCCCAGGAAACTGAGTCTGGGTCTTGCCTGTGAATCAGCAGTGTCTTTGGCATTGTGCCGGCTGTGGTCTGCCTAGGCGAGATCAATGACTACTGCTATTATTTAGCCGCAAATCTACCACAGTGTTACCAGTTCCCTTTCAAAAACTTTAATTAGCACTTGCTGAATTAATATAAATAAAATGTAAATTTATGTATTTAAATTGTCTCATATTGAATTTACCTCAATAAACATGGTTGCGATTTTGCAGTTTATTTCAGGAACTATCTCAGAATTTAAATGTTATGGTAGTATTAACATTTGATGACATGCGTAAATGCACATCCAGCATGCCACAGTGGCACTTAAGGTCCTGTATAAATGACTATAGTTTGTTTGCCTGGCTGTAGGTGGCTATTGTAAGGCTAGTGATTCGTTAGCAGAATGAAAGAAGCAGACTGCTTACAGCTCGTAGGTAGGACATTTGGATCAGTTTCTGAGGTCTGCTTTCTGTGAAAGGCATGTAAGAATTAAGTGAAGGATTTTGTGCTCCTGAGTTTCTTTAGAACTTGAAAAGCTGAGCCATTGAACTATCTCACCAGCAGATGGCATAGGCCTTTCTGCAAATGGGTTATCCTAGCACCTGCCTCAGTTACCAAATCTCTTTGTTTCAGTTCACAGAGGACTCATTTTCTACACTGCATCTTTTTCTTTACTGTTGCTTTTCCTCACATGGAATAGGCTTTTCATAATTTGTTGGGGTTTTTTTGGTAAGCTAAGTGTTTTCATTGTTTCCTTAAGGGAAAATGTCTCAAAGATTAACAAGGTTTTTTATATTGAATGTTTACACAGAGGCTGGACTTACCACTGCATTTTGCCATTTTTTATTATCTACAGTGGATTAAATCTTTAGCATATCCAGTATTTTCTTTTATTTCCTTTATCTACAGGACAGTAGGTCAAGCTGTGTCCAAGAAAAAATATATGTGAATGTATGTCTGATTGTATTTCATGCTGTTATTGCTTAGCAGGCATGAATGTTCAGGGTCACTTTAGGTGGTGAGAGGCATGTCAGTGATAATAGCCAGATCCAGATCTCTCCACTTGACTGGAGATTTGCAAGGCAACAGATAGAAATTCTCTGCATACTTATTTAAAAGCTCTTCAACTTGGATTTAGCACTGTGACATGAATCCAAGTTTGGGTTATCAATGTTTGTCTCTAATTGCGTGAGGCAAAGAACAGCCTAATTCTGTCTTTACTTTTGCTTCTTAGTTTGGATGTCTTTGCATTTCAGTTGTTCCTATTTCGTTTGTGATTTTGGTGTTATTTTTATATCCCAGTTTTTTTTATGATGTTGGTGAGATCCACTAAAAGTGCACCTTCTTTGACTGACACATTGAGGGGGTGATTTTATGAGCACTTACCATTCTTCTTGACTTTTGACAGAGTTGTGGATTTTCAGCATCTTGGAGATAATAGTAAGCTTTGTCACCGTGTTGCATTTTATTTTAAAAAATCATTTTCCTTTTTTGTAATTTTAACAAAACTTGTGTTACTTTATTTTATTTCACAGACGTCCCTGGAGCTTTTCAGCCTTCAGACATGGAAGTTTATTACAGAATTCCTCCCTCTTAAAGAAAAGAAAATTACTTGTGTGTAATTCTTCTTCTCAGAAGGTGGTGTTTGTAATAGATCCCCATGAGCTTTCTCTGTATTTGGGGACTTTTGTTTATTTGTTCACTCAAGAGTGAAAAAGAGCCAATGTTTTGAAATAGCAGAGATGTGCTACCTACTGATGAGGCAGTTTAATGACTCAGAACTTAAATCTTAAACAGGATTGTTGAGTGGGTTTACCCAAAGCTCCTGATTTACCAACTACTCTTCATTTAATGAGCCATCTGTGCTCCACCTACTTAACTGTCTTAGAGCTCCCTGAAGTCTGCCAAACTTGATCTTCTGTGACCAAGTTCCAGTTAGCAGATTATACAAAGCAATTCCTTTTGTCTAAAATTTCATGGAAACGTGCATTATACAGTGAGGAAGAAGCAAGATAAAAAGTAAGAGAAAGTCTAGGAGACAGAGTAGTGAAATGCAGGACGGTTAAAAACTCATTATGAAAAGAACATATCTTCTGTAGCATTGTTTTGTTCTTACTGTTTTAAGGAGTAAGAAAATAAACAAGTGAGTCAACCACAAATAAAAGAGAGAGGCCGTTAGTGTAGTGAAAATGCAGGTAGAGAAAAAAGAGGAGGAATATGCATGATTATGGAGGTTTATATTTGATATTTGCATAATGGATAAAGATTACTCAGTTTGCAAAATGTCTGTATGTTAGTACATACATATGATGTATTTACTGTACATGGTAATGGTTTCAGCTTATCACTTTTATGACAAAATCTTCTTTCTTTACAAGATGTTAGTTCTGTTCCATGTGTCTTAAAGAGAAGTCTGTTGCATTTGCACAGAAAAGAGGCTTAAGGATGAAGAAAATGTTGGTTCTTTATACTTCTGCAGATCCAGAATGAGGAGAGCGTTATTCTTTTTCTGGTGGTATGGACTGTGACAGAGATTACTCGATATTCCTTCTACACATTCAACCTGCTCAACCATTTGCCATACTTCATTAAATGGGCCAGGTGGAGATCTCTTGCACTTCAGTCTCTCATGGTTCTGTGCATGGTAGTTTCTCGCATGCTGAGCTAACACTCAGGAGAGCAGAGTTTTGAGCTTTCGTTATTTGTCAGCAAAGTGCAAGTTGGTTGCTTTCTGTACTTGGCATCATTGTTGCTTGGTTTTAAATGTTAAAAGTATTTTAGCTAAGATTTTTGGGGTCTGATTTATTCATTGCTTTCCATGTCTCACAGTTTGAGCTCTGCTGTCACTTACTCTTAAATGTTTTCCTTTATTTTTGGAGTCCTCTTTTAACTTTAGTATGATGCTTTTGAATACTGTGCCCAAAATTAAGCACCTGTGCTAGTCTTTGTGGATGTCAGTTCTTTGAAAATGTGGGCATTGTTGTCACTCAATCTGTGTGCGTATTATTACTTTATATGAAGTTCTGCTTTATCAGAGCTTTTGTAAGATTATATCCATGTAGTGAAGTTAAATATTGACTTAGTTTAGCCCACATAAAAAGTGTATTCCATATCAAAACTATTTGTATTTTGAAGCATACTTAGGGTTGGCCATTAGATCACATATATTACGAAGACTGCCTGTTTATCTGGAGACTGGAAGACTATTCTCTCTATTCATTATTTTAAAAATACATGTAAGACAGGATGTTAAAAGGAAAATATCTAACCTACATTCAGTGCAGGTGACTCTTATTTAAAAGAGTTTGTTATTTTCCTTAATTTTTGTTTTATAGATAATTCAGTTTTGATGCTTCTAATATACTTCTTTGATATGTCTGATATTTATGTCCATTCCTATAATATGTTATATTTTTGCTAGTACCTAAGGTGATAGACTTGGTTATGTTTAAGCATTAAATGGCAAACTTAAAAATAATCAGGTTGGCTGTCATTAATAGATTTTTATGTAGGCTTCAGAAAGAAATATGCGTCCATTGACAGATATACTTTTTGCCATCAGGTCAGTGTGTCTTGAATGACAAGATTTTGTTTCCTTAAAATAGACAATAGGGAAAATCGACATTCTAACAGCAGAGTTATGTGGTGAAATATATTATAAACAAAACACTTGAAAATGTGTTATCTTTTCATAGAGTCCAAAATATCCCATCCAGACTTATGGATAAACAAACAGCAGAACTGAACATAAATTCAGTACTCCAATAGAGCTGGAATTTCTGATCTTTAGCTTATAATTGTAAAAGATTCTCCTGTCTGTTGTTAATGGAATTGGTATGCTTCAAATTTTAGTTCAGAATTGTTGGGGTTTTTTTAACTGCATAGAGACACACAGTGTGTAAATCATTGCATCAGTTCCTTCTAATACCTCCCCTAATCCATGGTGTTCCCAGTGGTGCCAAGCAGTAGGGCAAGAGGCAATGGACAGAAACTGATGCACAGGAAGTTCCACTTGAATATGATGAAGAACTTCTTTAATGTGAAGGTGACTGAGCACTGCAACAGGTTGCTCAGAGAGGTTATGGAGTGTCCCTCACTGGAGATATGCAAGACCTGTCTGGACACAATCCTGTGCCACGTGCTCTGAGATGATCCTGCTTGAGCAAGAAGGTTGGACCAGATGATCCACTATGGTCCCCTCTAACTTGACCCATTCTGTGATTCTGTGATTTCCCTAGTCCCAAATCTGTAATCTGACTGCAAGTCCTCTAAGGCCGTTTACTTCTAGGAGGCTTTCTTGTTTAGTCGCTGCTGTTTTGGATCTCGTCTCTTTTGGTCAGGGAGTGCACACTGTGCCTTTCTTCTGTGCCACAGCTGTCATTGCTGTTCCCTGCATGAACTGGAGAATTTTTCCTTAGGAGAACCTGCATATCCATGGTGCACTGTGTGTAAGGACAGCACAAAGCCTTTTGATTACAGTTTTTCATTTTGTCACTGCCTATGTGGCCTGTGGCATTCAAACCACATTTTCTTTAAACTGAATGCTTCGTCTTTGATTTGAACATCTTCTTCTCACTTAAAAATGGAGCTGATAAGTTTCTGGCACTGCCATTTTCTTTTATTTTTTTATTCCAATTTCCATTAGTGGTAAATGTAGTATTATTTGAATTTCCCATGTGGTAGCAAGTAAAACAAACTGATGTTTCTCAATGTTTTCATTATCTTCAAATAAATTATAATACATATAGTTGACCAAGTGTGCATGCACTGTGATGAAAATATGTAGGATCATCTGAATTTGGGATTCAGTCCTGGTCTGAATCCTGTCAATAGCAACAGGAGCCAAGATCAGTACATGTAAAAAAAATCATTATTGGAGACTACAAGTTTGAGGATTGTTTTATTATAAAGACATACAAACACTCTGATACTTCACTGTTTTTAAATAAAAGCACTGATGAATGCATGCTCTGTAAATCTAAGCAACTCCATCATAACTAAATGAAACTGGTGTTCTTTGCCAAGTCTGGATGTGGTCTTTGATTTTGGTGCAAGGACTACTGTAATACATTGCTGTGCCACTAATAATAACAAGAGAAAATTTTAAATTTGTGGAGTGTTTCTCACAAAGTTTTTTTTACTTTTTAATGCAGATACAACTTTTTTATCATTTTGTATCCTGCTGGAGTTGCAGGTGAACTGCTAACCATATATGCTGCTTTACCCTATGTGAAGAAAACAGGAATGTTTTCACTGAGACTTCCCAACAAATATAATGTCTCCTTTGACTACTATTACTTCCTTATTATTGTCATGTTCTCCTATGTGCCATGTAAGTATTATTTAACTGTAGAAACGTTTTAACAGCATAATAATCAGTCATCAGCAATGCTGGAAGCACTGCCTGTAGTAAAATTAGCTGAACATTTTCTACTGTAAAAGCCTGCTTTCTCTTGTTCCAAGCTTTGCTGTGCTTTAATTGGTTAGACTGAAATGTTCTGTCCTGTTATTTGTCTCAGAACATAACCTGTCAGAAAATTCAGTGAAAATGCTAAAAACATTTCTAAGACTTGTACAAAGTAAAAAAACTTTTTGCTTACACACAAAAATGTCTGTGGCTGTGTCACTGAGACTTCCTAGTGCCTCAGCCACTTTGAAGCAATGGCTTAAAAACGGTCCTGCAAACTGTGCCAGAGATTTACTGTGTTGTTATTGCTACGAATGCTCATTTACCTCTGAAAAATCACAATTCGAGCATGCTTGGGAAAAACTTGAAACGATATTCTCCAAGATTTCATTTTCACACAAATCAGCCCTTCCTTCCTTGCCCCCAGACCTCTCAGAACATCTTTAGTCCCTGGTTTAATCAGTTTGTCCTTGTGCTTAACGGATACCAGAAGCCACAGATCAATTGGCCGAACTAAGCTAAGGGTAGAGAGACTATCTGTCTTTCACTTCCAGTGTTATTTCCACAGGTACCTAAGCAGTGAAGACGAGGAGAAAGCAACCTGATTCAGATGCACTGCCACAAATGGGGCTAGATCAAACTAGGAACATGTAATATTTTAGATAACATTACTAACAGAATATATAATAGAATATTTTGAATAATCTGTACATTGAGGTTAGAAACAAGGTAGCAGGTTAGAGAGAAACAGAGAAAGAGGAAAACTGAAGTTAAAAGGTCTGAGATTTGCATTCATAAAGGGAGAAAGAAACCTTAAGCATGGACTTTCATAATATGTACATACACTGAAATTTTTTGTCACAGGAAATCATGAAGGCCAACAAGTGAGATTGATGTGAGTAAAAAATGTCCTAAGCTGTCATAACTTATTAATGGTTTTACAGCTGTTTATACAACTTAATGTTTAAGGAATAAATCCAGTTTTCTAACCATTAAGTATAAGAATCAAATCTGTCAGCAGGACAGTAATATAATAGATGACAGAGGGCCAGGAGAAAGGGATCTTCTCACTTGAGACTTGAATAAGTAGGTTAAATTTGTATCCTCAAAGTCTTAATTCAAACATGCTTACCTTAGCACAGGTTTGAAGGCTTCAGGCACTGCCAGAATGTGATTAAGTCCTGTTTCTAGAAAGAAAGCATTGAAGCAAAATTCCTTGAACACAGAGTATATATTCAGGGGACCTTGTCTGACTTTTGAGTAATTATTGTTTTGTAATTCACTGCAATGTTAATGACTTCTTATTATTTACCTTAACCAACTGCAGCACTGTATGCCATAATTTTTGCTCATTCTGCAAAATTGTGTTTTATGTGATCTGTTGAATTTTTTCATCTAATTTGCTTTCTTTTATGCTTTTATCAAGTATTTCCACAACTCTACTTCCACATGCTGCGGCAGAGAAGAAGGGTGCTCTATGGAGAAGTGATTGTGGAGAAGGACGATTGAATCAAGATGTGTAACTATGGTGCTTTTAGTGGAAAACAAAAAAGAGGGTAAAACCTCAATATTTCCTGTGATTTTTCTGAGTCCAAGTTTTAAAACATGGAACAAGAATAAACAACTGTGCATAAAATAGCATGGATTCTATTATTTTTACAACTGATATATTTTCAGACCTATCTTTTCATCCTCGGTTTCGCTTTGGTTTTTAATTGTCTAATTCTTCAAACAAATTTTTTTCTTATTTTCACAAATATTTTTCTCAGTTTCACAAATAGCTTTAAGAATTGGAATAGTTGGCTACTGTGCCTTCTGTTCAGAAAGTTATGTTATGACCTGTAGTCATCATCAAGAACAGAAGGAGAGTTGATAAATTGTATTGAAAGTGAGTCTTCTGGAAAACAGCAGAGCGTAAATTGGGTAATTGTGTTTTTCGTAGTCTAGGCGGCTTGAATGTTATTTAAGCTTTATATTAAATAATACCTTTCCTGTTATAAGTACTGTAGCACGTTGTTCAACAATCTTTGAATTACAGTAGGACTTTGGATAGCAGCTGAGTCCTTGATTGTCAGTGCAAATTTGGATCTCCCTGTATTTTCATTTGTAATTTTACAGATACGTAGAATAACAGATATCAAATTAAGTGTTTAAAAGTTTGTGCTGAGGAGTAGCCTTGATGTGCCTACCTTTCTCTGATCAGTGGCTGGAATTGGACTCGTTTGCAGAGAAAGTCTGACTAGCATCATGTTTGCTATTCTACACTTAAATTATGTATGCAGAAAAATCTCAGTTTTGCATTTAGAAATTGTAGCTTTAGTGAGATATTTGAGTTCTTATAAATAGCTCTGTGGGATAGAATATATTTGAAATAACGTCTTAAAATAGAAATTGTGCTCTGAATAATCCCATTGTGCAATTTTAATTGCTTCCTTTCCATTAATTGTTTATACTGTGTTGACCTAATTCTATTCAATGTCTTCAATAATCTGCAAGAAGGATCTACAGTATATTAATGAAAGTTACAGATATTATTGCATTATATGATACCTGAGTGGGAGAGGTCCAACAAATTAGACACTGCCTAAGGGATTCAGAGAAAAGGTAATGCATTTGAGGAAACTTGGATACTTAGTGAGAGAGAGAGAGAGAGAAGATTGAAATATAGTAATGTGGTAAGCAGCTTTGATAACGTAGGCAACAAAATTGCTTCTGGCATCACTAATGTCAAAAGAAGAGTATATATGCAGACGAGCTGCGTTAGACAGCTAGAAATCAGAATATTTGTGATTGCTGAGGTGATATCTGGAGTAGAGTCTTATATTTTTGGGTACTTCAAGAATTGAGACAATATTCTGAAAAGTCACAGAACAAAACCATGATTAGTTTAAGTGAGAAAGAAGTCAGAAAGATTGAGTCATTAATGTGTATAATTTTTTGTTTTATGAAAAATACATGTAAAGGAAGAGAATTTCTGAGTATAACGGCGCAACTGGAAGTGATTATATGAATTTGAAACAAGGTAAATAGCCAATGTATGTCAGGAGAAAGATCCTACTAATGAGATCAGTTAGGTTATGGAATGACACAGTAGTGCTTATCAATGCATACAATTTCTTGGAAGGTTTTCATTTATATTTCGCAAGAGTTTGAGCTACGTACTTGCAGAGGCAGTTTCCATTTTTAGGTTCAATGATTCTGTGGTAATACAGCTTTTTTGAAATTTGTAGCTGCACCTTTTTCTGGTGTATCAGGTAATTTGATAAAAAAGCAAGGATTTGCTATATCCCTAACTTTCAAATTCAATTTTGTGCCTTAAATTTGTGATATTTATGCCTGTCTTCATTACACGTAAATGAGTTTCCTTTTAAACAACAGGTGCATAGTGGACTTGAGATAGAAGAGTTGTATTTTTTTCAGTTTTAAAAGGTGGAATCTTTGTATTCTTTAAAAAAAATTTCACACAAGGTGCTATAATTTAACTTACTACTTCTGTGTTTTGTATGCAGCTAAAATTATTAAAGGTTTGAGATATAAACTGTATTTACAACACTGGATCACAAAATAGTTGTGTTACACATATACAGACTAGCAGTTGTATTTGTCCGAAGTTCTTAGAGTACTGTTTTATAAACTCCACTTGCTTTTTGATCCATGAGGAACATCGTGGCATTTTTCAGAAATATATCTCAGCAAGCAGAATAGTGTGATTAAATATAACTCACTAAGATTAGATTAGGTTCTGTGTCTTTTTTACTGTCAGGGCAGCTCACTGAAGACCATAGCTATCAATTAATTTAAAATGCATTGGATACTTTAAGGGTGTGATTTTGAAATCCTTGGTCAGATGAGTGTATCCCACAGATACTATTCCTGCAATAAAAGGAATACTTGCACTATAATACTGTATTATATTTTTTTTCATTGTGGCCTAAGGATATTATATGTCCATCAAGGAGCTATTTTTATATCCTTTTGTACATGTAACATGAAAAAAATACAGCACTGTTTGCTAAAATCTTGGGTTGCACTTTCATAGAGCAACAGTGTACAAGGTAATGATACAATTTAAAAACTGATTTACAGCTACAATATAGTCATGATAAATGAGTACAAATAAAGCTAAAAATTACTTACAGTATCTCATAGACGAGAGATTGCCATGTAGATTATTTGACATGGCATGTACTTAAAAACAAAGTAAGCAACATTTATCTTTTCTTACTCCTCTTTTTTGACTGAAACCTTCCTCTGAAGCCTCCATGTATACCTCTTCATAGAATCAGTAAGGTTGGAAAAGACCTGCAAGATCATCGAGTCCAACCTTTGAACACCACCATGTCAACTAGACCACAGCACTAAGTGCAGTGTCCAGTTGTTTCTTGAATGCTTCCAGGAAAGGTGACTCCACCATCTCCCTGGACAGCCAGTTCCAATGTCTGACCACCCTTTCAGTGAAGAAATTCTTCCTAATGTCCAACCTGAACCTCCCTGGCACAGCTTGAGGCCTTTTCCTCTTTTCCACTTGCTAGTTGCTATATGTTAAAATATATTCTGAAAGATAGTGAGAATTGCAGGTAAAATCCTCTTGCTATTGACTTCAGACTTCCTAGGTAGCTTACTTAAATTTCAGTATAACATCGTGAAAAGCTTAATTAGCTTGTTAAATAGACATTAAAATTAAGTATGATTTTCATATGGTGCTCTCTTTCCAACTTCTTTTTTACACCTGTCTTTTTTTGTCTTATTCTCTGCAATATTCCTAGTTTTCTAAAGCATTTAAATCCTCCTGCTTAGGTAAGATTAGAAATGTATTCAAACATAAGCATCTCTACTGTTTTCATGTAGTCTTTAACAAATTGTTTTCTTACCTGTGCTATACATGTTTTCTGAAATGAATTAATATAGAGCATGGCCTTATGAAGCTTTTCTAATGACATTACACAGGAATATGCATTTGGAAGGAGATTCCTATTCATCAGGTGACCTTGCCTACTATTGGTAGTAACAGAAACAGACCACCCGTCGTATAAAATCCACCTAAAAGCGTGTGGATTTCTTTAGGTTCTCCCCAGCACTCTCACAGTGTTCCCATTGTGAAAGGCTGTTTTGAGACAGATTGAGGTGGCTTGTGTCATCACAACTCTGCCCAGAATGTCTGGAAGCCAGTACTGGCCTCAGGGCAAGGGCAGCAGAAAGGAATATGATGCTGAGATATTGCATCTCCTGCATTAGCTGCCAAGGGGTCACTGGGGCCATTGTGAACAGTAGCTGATGGATGTAATTTCTCTCACCACGCAGGATGTGGGAAGAGAGGAAGCTCAGTGTGCTCTCATACCTTTTGCCTAGGGAGCTCAGGAGATCAACTGGGAGGATCTCTGTGACAAAGAGCATGTTGCAGAAAGGGCTTTCCTGCTCCACTCAGCTATCTTATTACTATCTATTAGCCTACATTTCTTGAGATATACTGGTATGCCAAGATGGGTATGCCACACTGCTCTCAATCATCTAGTTCAAAATTAACTGCCTTGGATAAATGGTGCAGCATGCTGCTTCTAATTCCCATTGAGCATAACATTTAGCCAGGTTCATGTTAATGGATAGATTGCCATGGCTAGTTAATAGGGAGGTGTATGGAGACTTTTTCTGTGACCAGATGGAACCTAACTTTCTTATCCAGATAAAATATTTTAAATCTAGGTCTAGCTACTGCTCTGACTGTGATACTTGCAGTCTTCACAGTAGCTTACTTCAGTGGATATTTGGATATTTATGTGATAAATAAACTATAATGAAAACAAATTACAAACATTATAATAATTTATAATTTAAGGTAGTTGCTACATTAACAGTTTTTGTGAATTCAGTTCTTACTTAATCTACCTTAGAAAGAAAAAAACGAAGGAAAGTTAATACAAATAAGTGTTCTGCACTAAGCAGTAGGGCTTCATAAATCAAAATTTTCATGCAGGCAAACTGGCTGCAGTTCATAAAGGATTGGTTATGTGTTTTTGAACAAAAAGGTTGAAAGCTTTTCTGAAAATTAAAATTTATATCATAACATATATTTTAAAATGTGCTGAGAGATACTGTATTATTTATTACCAGTTTACAATTTAAATTCATGCCAAACATACAGTTTTTATAGATGATTAACTGTAGGCCATTAAAATGTTTCATTCTGTGTTTGTTACAGTGGCTGTTTAAAAAACAAACACCTCATGTTTCTGCAAAGCTCTGTATTCTCTTGCTCAAGTGAGTTGCAGTATCATTATTGTCTACAATGCTTTTGCAAGGCTGCTAAAGTGGCAGGTTCCTATTTGCAAGGGATAGCTCCTTAAACTTGCTTTCATGATGGCACACCTTCACAGTGGGTTCAGTGAGTAAAACTGTATGCCACTGGTGCCATTCTAGGGGTCCTAAGTGCCTTCAGTAGGACTGAAGGCTTTACAGATGTGCCTGAGTCATCCTTATGACTTCCTCAATGGAGAAGACCTGTCTCGTGAACTCTTAGGTCACAAAAGTAAGTCTGGCAAGTGAACTTAAGGCTGTACCAAGACAAACTGTGGAGAACCTGGACGTTGGGTAACTCTAGCCCTCTCATAGGAAGTTGCTGTCAAGTTCAGGCCTGCAACTGA